CAAGAGGCACTAGAAGCTGAGAGTGAGAACGCGGACTGTTGGAGGGCTGAGGTGTACAAGCATTATCAGACACCAGGAGGAAGGTCCTATGGTGAGGATAAAGAAGGTGTTGGAAGGAGGCCATGGGGAAGTAGCCCAGGGAGTTGTAGCTGTTGCACAGCTGTTCCAGGAGGCACTCCAGACAGCTGCATTCCACAGGGCCCTAGACTGGAACCCGGAGTAGAGGGTAGGCCCGTGTTCCCCCCCAAATCCTCCCAACTCCTGGTCAGACACAGGAGGAGTCAGCCTGGACTGTGAATTCAGAAAAACGGCCAAGCTGAGGGCTGCTGTGAAGCTCCAAGGCAAGCAAATCCGCCAATAAGCACAAGACCCACCAAGGTAGCACAGGAACTTTGTCACAATATATTGCTGGACTAGCCCTTAGCAAAACAAATTACCCATAATTAAAAGCTGCAAAGCTTACTATATATACCCTAGAGAGTGTCTTTCAAAAATACATGAATCTTGTGTGATGTAGCTGTGAAAAAGGCTAATGCAATCCTGGGATGCATCAGGTGAGGTATTTCCAGTAGAGATAGGGAAGTAGTGTTACCATTATACAAGTCACTGATGAGACCTCATCTGGAATGAATAGTGTGTACAGTTCTGGCCTTCTACTAGGATGATCAGAGGAATGGAGAACCTAGCTTATGAAAGAAGACTTAAGGAGCTTGGCTTGTTTAGCCTAACAGAACAAAGGCTGCGGGGAGATATGATTGCTCTGTATAAATACATCAGAAGGGTAAACACCAGGAAGGAAGTGGAGTTATTTAAGTTAAGGGCCAGTGTTGGCACAAGAACAAATAAGTATAAACTGGCCACCAACAAGTGACGTCTTGAAATTAGATGAAGGTTTCTAAGCATCAGAGGAGTGAAGTTCTGGAACAGTCTTCCAAGGGTAGCTGTGGGGGTAAAAAACCTAACTAGTTTTGAGACTGAGCTTGATAAGTTTATGGAAGGAATGATATGATGAGGTTGCCAACAATTGCATGTGGTCCATCTGCTACTGTTATGAGCAAATATCTGCCACAGCCAGAGATGGGACACTAGAGGGGGAAGGCTCTGAGTTACTACAGTGAACTCTTTGCCAGATATCTTACTGGTGGTCTCACCAACATGCTCGGGGTCTAACAGGTCACCATATTTGGGGTCAGGAAGGAATTTTCCTCCAGGTCAGATTGGCAGAGAGTCTGGGGTTATTTTGCCTTTCTCTGCAGGTTGGGTTCTGGATCATTTTACTGGTTTGAACTAGAGTAAACAGTAAAAAGAAAAGGAGTACTTGTGGCACCTTAGAGACTAACCAATTTATTTGAGCATGAGCTTTCGTGAGCTACAGCTCACTTCATCGGATGCATACCGTGGAAACTGCAGCAGACTTTATATACACACAGAGAATATGAAACAATACCTCCTCCCACCCCACTGTCCTGCTGGTAATAGCTTATCTAAAGTGATCATCAGGTTGGGCCATTTCCAGCACAAATCCAGGTTTTCTCACCCTCCACCCCCCCCACACAAATTCACTCTCCTGCTGGTGATAGCCCATCCAAAGTGACAACTCTTTACACAATGTGCATGATAATCAAGTTGGGCCATTTCCTGCACAAATCCAGGTTCTCTCACCCCCCTCCCAAAAACCACACACACAAACTCACTCTCCTGCTGGTAATAGCTCATCCAAACTGACCACTCTCCAAGTTTAAATCCAAGTTAAACCAGAACATCTGGGGGGGGGGCGGTAGGAAAAAACAAGGGGAAATAGGCTACCTTGCATAATGACTTAGCCACTCCCAGTCTCTATTTAAGCCTAAATTAATAGTATCCAATTTGCAAATGAATTCCAATTCAACAGTCTCTCGCTGGAGTCTAGATATGAAGTTTTTTTGTTTTAAGATAGCGACCTTCATGTCTGTGATTGCGTGACCAGAGAGATTGAAGTGTTCTCCGACTGGTTTATGAATGTTATAATTCTTGACATCTGATTTGTGTCCATTTATTCTTTTACGTAGAGACTGTCCAGTTTGACCAATGTAAATGGCAGAGGGGCATTGCTGGCACATGATGGCATATATCACATTGGTGGATGTGCAGGTGAACGAGCCTCTGAGAGTGTGGCTGATGTTATTAGGCCCTGTGATGGTGTCCCCTGAATAGATATGTGGGCACAATTGGCAACGGGCTTTGTTGCAAGGATAAGTTCCTGGGTTAGTGGTTCTGTTGTGTGGTATGTGGTTGTTGGTGAGTATTTGCTTCAGGTTGGGGGGCTGTCTGTAGGCAAGGACTGGCCTGTCTCCCAAGATTTGTGAGAGTGTTGGGTCATCCTTTAGGATAGGTTGTAGATCCTTAATAATGCGTTGGAGGGGTTTTAGTTGGGGGCTGAAGGTGACGGCTAGTGGCGTTCTGTTATTTTCTTTGTTAGGCCTGTCCTGTAGTAGGTGACTTCTGGGAACTCTTCTGGCTCTATCAATCTGTTTCTTTACTTCCACAGGTGGGTATTGTAGTTGTAAGAAAGCTTGACAGAGATCTTGTAGGTGTTTGTCTCTGTCTGAGGGGTTGGAGCAAATGCGGTTGTATCGCAGAGCTTGGCTGTAGACGATGGATCGTGTGGTGTGGTCAGGGTGAAAGCTGGAGGCATGCAGGTAGGAATAGCGGTCAGAAGGTTTCCGGTATAGGGTGGTGTTTATGTGACCATTGTTTATTAGCACTTCTGTAACTTGAAGTCTTTAAATCATGATTTGAGGACTTCAGTAACTCAGCCAGAGGTTAGGGGTCTATTACAGGAGTGGGTGGGTGTGGTTCTGTGGCCTCTGATGAGCAGGAGGTCAGACTAGATAAATCATGATGGTCCCTTCTGGCCTTAAAGTCTATGAGTAAGTCAGCTACATGCCTTAATGGCAGAGACCCTGCATACTCAGTTTTTCAGACACAGAGTGTGGTCATTCTTTAAGTAGACTCTGAGCCTCACCTCCTACCGATGTGGCTTGTGAATCACCTGAGTGGAATACATGTCTGCAACCACCTGAAGAAGAAAAGACTTACTCATCTGTATGGTAAGTTATTCTTCGAGATGTGAGTGCAGATGTGTATTCCACTCAGGTGTGCGCACACCTGCTGCACTGAAGCTGAAGAACTTTGCCTAGCAGTACCTGTGGGGCGGTGCTCATGGTCTCTGACTTTTAGCCTCTCCTTAGGTTATTTAAGGGCAGCATCAGCCTTTGCACGGAACATCGAGAGTTAAGACTGTTGCAGAGGGGACAGAGGTTGGGTTATGGAATATGTCTGCACCCACATCTCGAAGAACAGTTACTGTACAGGCAGGTAACTGTCTTACTGCATACACGTGCACAGGGTCTCTGCCATTAAGGCATGTAGCTGCTAGTGTACATACTATCTTAGGGGTTGCCACAGCAGTCCATATGACCTCAGCAACATTTCCCAGGCTCTTGAGATCTGAAAAAAGGATACTGGGGAAGAGACACGGTAAGATTACATCAAGTAAATGTACTTGCTTCTCCTGGTGCTCCAGCATCACCCTTCTTCGCCGCCCTTCCCTGCAAAGAGCAGTACCTCCCCTGGGAGCCTCTCCAAGCTGGATGGGGAGCTGACTGGGTCACATGGAAGGACCAAGAGGGAATGTTTTTCTTTCAGCCTAGCCTGGCTGACTCCCATCTGTATAGCTGAAATAGCTGTCTTGTGTTTCCTTGTAGAATTCAAAGAAAAGCAGGTAATAAGGAAAGAAAGCACGACAAAATTTAAGAAAGAACTCCAACTCCCGTGATACGATGTGGAGCTCATGCTAATATAGCCTAGGTCCGGTGTCAGTCTGCCAGAGGCCAGCAGTCTTTCCCCATAGCATTTCAAAATGTGAGGACTTTGAAATGTTGATGTGTGGCAGGGTGCAGCCACTGGTTCTCACAGTGTATGTGTGATTCTGGCCTGTGCAGTCAAAGTCATGGCATTTGGAACAAATAAAAAACATATGGAGATAGACATCAACTGCTGGTTTCCTGCTTGGCTTTTGGGTTCAGTTCCAGCTGTCTACTTTCCTATTTAAAAAAACAAAAAACTTAGATCCCAGTACTGGAAACTTCATATCTCCCCATTTACCATCAGGGTAGATGAGGTCAGATGAAGTACTCTATCTAATGTGATTTAGGTTTTTCTATAGTGTCTGAGTGCCAGCACTCCGTATGTTTCAATATCTGGCAATGGGCAGGGTATTCAGTATATAGCACTTGACTATGGAATGCACTCAACCTGCTGGTCTAAAAGAGAGAACTTCTTCTGTGCATCTTTAGGGCATGATGCAAGGCCCATGTCTGTCTTGTTTTCTATTTATTGTATTGTTTTACCATAACACTAGGATTCATAGTCATGGATCAGGACCCCCATTGTGCTAATAGGTTTGGTTTGTTTCAGTGATTGTTCTTTTGCTATTGGAGGAAAACTTGTGTGCTACATTATGTCCTTAGATGTGATGGCTTTAGGGAACATTTTGTACACCTTATACATCTAAAATTAAATAAAATGGATATATATATGCAGAGTTATAATTTAAAAAGAGATGCTTGTGAAGTACGGTAACAATCCTTGTTGCCTTATATTAGAGAAACTAGAATGCTATAGTAGAAGTGATGGTGAATTTTGCACGTGTATATAAATTTTGGTTTTAAATCATTAGAATTTTTTTTATATCATATGAAACTTTGTTTTATCCAGTTAAAACAGACCAACTAACATATGATGAGACATGATTACTTTTAAACATGCATGCTTGAATATAAAACCTCATTAACAAAATCGTTTTTCTAAAAATACTAAAATATTTGACCACATCTCTTAGAAAGCTAGTAACAGATGTCAGTGCAATGATTAATTTGGAAATTCACTACAGTTGCTGGAGCTATGTTCAATGTATTTTAGCAGTAATTATAGATTTATTTTTTTCCTTTCTTTTACAGTTCTGAACACAAAGCTGTACTGTCCCTTCTGGCAGCTGTCTCCTTAGTTATGCTCTTCATTCTGGTTCAGAGGAGATGCTCCCTGGTTTCGAAAATAGCGATGGCACTTGGGCTCTTGGGAGTCTACAGTTACCGGGTAGCCATTGGAAATGTTGTATTTCCATGGCAACAAGACAGCAAAGATATCTCAAAGTGAGTTCATCATCAGATATGTATATCAACTTCTAGAACAGTTTTAACACTTTGGATACTGAAAAAATAGCACTGTTATCTCTGTTAGAATCAGGCTGTTATGAGCAAAGGGATGGTTCTCTTAGGATGTGCCCTAACAAGTTTTTCGTGTTATGGCTTTAAATAATATATGGGTACAATAAAGTGGTATGTTCCTGTACCATATCTCAAATTGGAAACCTGTCAAAGGCTGACACACATACACTGACTACCTTGAGGCATAGCTTATTGATCTAGCCAGTTACCATTTTTTTCCATTTCCATTATTGAATCTGGCTTATAAAGATTACTACCTTTGCTGTTTTATTTACTATTATGTTGATTTGCTACATTAAGTACAGAACAATACCAACCTGACTTATTTATAACAATGAAATGGTTTACTATTTGACTACAAGGCTAAAAATACATTTAGGAAACAGTTTCCCTGTGCCTTTCTGTTTCTTACAGCTGAGAGTTGTGCTCCATAGCCTTTCAAGATGTAATAGATTTCTGCCTTTGGGGTCTAAAGCTTGGAGCATTATACAGACTGAGAACTTTCAAAGCTAAGAGTTTTGAGTCTCCTTTCCCACCATACCTGTCAGCAGGTGATATGTTTACCATGTGAGATGAAACAACCCAATGATGCTTCTAATTCATGAGGGCTTTTTTTCTCATACTGAGCATTAGCTGCTTTCGGAGTGCAGGAAAGCAGCTTTGATTCTTTTATAACCTATCTGATATTTTTCAGTTTTTGTTGTGATATAGTTGGACCTGCAGCGTCAACATGTTCTAAAGGGAGCATCAGAATTGTGGGAAAGCTTCAGGATGCATTCCTGTAGTCTTTGGGGGAAATTCTAGAAAGATGATTGGCTTGTGGCTAGAATAAATTGTTCAGAGATCACTTAGAATTTGACCTGAGTCTGGGTAGCTTGGTTGAGGATTGGGGATCAGAGGTCACACCCTCTGTAAGAAGTGGAGATTGGGAGTTACCTTGGAAAGCAGCCTAGGAAAAGATTTTTAGACTAACTAAGGCCAGCTGTACCAGTGGTGCATATATTTCTTTTATATGTAGTAGAGATATTTGAAGATACCTTAATACTAATTAAGGAAGTAAGTTATTTGATCTTCTGCATACAAAAATTTCCATTGACCTTGACTTGGACTACAGAATCTGACTACGTGCTTGAATGTGTTTGTCTGGAAATACATCTGATTGCTAAATATGATTTTTGGTTTTTGTTGGACTACAATTCCTTAGGGTAGAATGCATTTCCTTCAGTGAGAGGAAAAATACTGTAGTGTGGAACAGAATGTTAACTGCATCAGCTGAACTGCAAATTAAAAGAATAGTTACAGTAATAAGTGGAGTTCTTAAATTTACAAAGTGAGCAAAGGTTTCACTGACCGCTGATTTACACTATAGTCAGCGTCTTAATTGCAATTAGAATTGACTAAGAAAACATAGGGCTTTTATACTCAGCTTAATTTTAAATGTGAATATGGTGATTTGCTTAAACTGCTATGTCAGACCTTTCATTTATAGCTTTGATTATGCAGTGGCTTAAAAGTTCTTTAGATTAATAAAACCAGACTTCACGATCAGTTACAGTCGTGGCTGACTGTATCTCACATTTAAGAGTGAGACTTGCATGTTAACATTAAATGACTGTTTAGATGTAGAAATGGCACAAGGCTTTTTAAATTGGAGAATTTTAGTGCTTTTTCTAAATGGGAGCAGGTACACTACAAGCTTTGGTGCACACCTCTGCCAATACACCTTAACCTTGTCTTTACACCATCCTTAGCGTTACGTATCAGGGCTTCCCTGTTACTTGCGTTGACAGGACATCCACTTTAAAACTGCCTACTACCTTTACCTTTTAAGATAAAAATACTGCCATGGAGACTGAAGTGTAGAATACATACATTATGGGGGAGGGATAGTTCAGTGGTTTGAGCATTGGCCTGCTAAACCCAGGGTTGAGAGCTCAATCCTTGAGGGGGCCATTTAGGGATCTGGGGCAAAAATTGGGGCTTGGTCCTGCTTTGAGCATGGGGTTGGACTAGATGACCTCCTGAGGTCACTTCCAACCCTGATATTCTATGATTCTATGGGCTGCAGTAATGCAGGTCTTTCTACCTTGCCTTGCAAATGTGCCTGAACTCTGACACAATCTGGTAGAAATATCTGGAAAGGCAACATGGTCCAATGCTGGACTGCAAATCAGGAAATCTGTGTTTTTTATTTGTAACTCTTTATTTGCTATATGATCTTAGCAAGTTATGCTTTTCCTAATTTTGTAACTTGACCATAATGTGAGAAATGTTGTGTATTAGGTTACATATAAAAACTACATTAAAAGAATGTTAAGGTTGCAACGTCAAGTACCTAAAAGGTGGGAAAGTCAAAAAAAAATTTCTGTGTAACCTTCATTTAGCCCCATTATATGTATACATTGCCAACAGCCTGTACTTTATGATCACTTATTATTTTTACATCAGGACTCCCTGCCTCATTCAGTGCACAAAATGAATGGTGTTCACTGAATGGGTAGTTGTTGAATATTTCTCTTTACTTGTGCCTTATTTACTACGCACCATCCAAACCCTGAATTCCATACAGAATTATTTCCTCATGGGATTTTCTCAGGAACTCCTCACCATAGCTGCTGAGTGCTACACAAACATTAATGAATGGATTCAGAGGATCCCTTGTAAGATGATGATATTCACATTTTACAGATGAGGAACTAAGATGCATAGAGGTTAAAGCCAATATTGAAAATTGGGCCCTAGTGGATGCTCTTGACAGATATGTTACTACTTTTATAGCACATACATTAATAACATAGCTTCCATTTGACAGGTTTCAGAGGAACAGCCGTGTTAGTCTGTATTTGCAAAAAGAAAAGGAGTACTTGTGGCACCTTAGAGACTAACCAATTTATTTGAGTATGAGCTTTCGTGAGCTACAGCTCACCATTGACTTCAGTTGCACTGAGTGCCCAGTGTGTCTGCAAATGAAGCCCCAAGTATCCCAAGTTTCTCAAGCTGAGCACTAAGAAAGTGAGAAACAGAGTGTCCACTTGTGAAAAGTTTGATGTGTGACTTGCCCAGCATCAGTTAGAAGCTTGGTGGCAGAGACATGACTAGAACTCAGATCTTCAGGGTGTCAATGTATTTCCGTAACCAAGAGGTCATCCTTTCAGTTCCTGCAGTCCCCTACATTACAGGCAGTCCTCGACTTTACGATGTTCGAGTTACGATGAACGGCACTTACAACGCTTCTACATTGACACCCTGATTCGATTTATGACTATAGGTTTCAAGTTTACAATGCTCGGTCCTGCAATGGAGTAGATTGCAGTTCTGAATTCCAACTTACAAATGCAATCGTAAGGAACCAATTGTGTCGTAAGTCTGAGGACTGCCTGTATTTACCTCACACCTCCCAGTTTCTGCGACAAATGACACAGGACCCTCCACACAAAAGCTTCATCCACTGTACAGCCTTTGAATATGCTAAATGAAGCAGAGGTCCTGTGAGAAATGTCTGATATGCAGTTAGGGACTGTATCATTGTAGTGAAGCAAGGACTCACGAGCGAAGCGCCTCCTGCTAGTTGTCTGGGAATTAGCTCTCCAGCATATGGAGCACCTCCTTCTGCTGGTGGCTCGCCTGCCTCAGGCCCCCGTGTCCCTCCCAGACTCCGGTGCCCCTTTACCTCGGGGTTCTGTCCTCTACAGTATGCCCACTCTCTGGGTCTCCCCTCCCAGGGGAACCCCCGACCCTCTATCCCCACCTTGCCTCAATGGCTACTGCCAGTCATCATCCAGCTCCCTTTCTCTGGGGCAGATTTGCAGTCTGTAATGGCCACTCATCATCACCTGTTGCCTTTGCCTATTCCCAGGCTGGATCTCTGCAGCCCCAGTACCTCTGTAGGCCTTCAACAAGGCCTGCAGCCTGGGGTTTTACCAGGCTGAAGCTCCCCAGCTTCCTTGCCCTATTCCCCAGCACTGCTCCAGTTCAGGTTCCTTCCTCTGAGGCAGCTAGCCCTTCTCCCTCCAGGGCTGGAGAGAGACTCCTCCAACTTCTGGCCCACAGCCCTCTTATAAGGGCCAGCTGGGCCCTGATTGAGCTGGCCACACCTGTGCTTTTCACCACTCAAGTGCTTTCACTCCTTTTCCCAGCTGCAGCTCTCTCCAGTGCTGCTTTTAACCCCCTGCCTACTGGAGTGGGGCAGGCGCCCCACTACAGTCATGTACATGCACAAGGGGGCTGAATTAGGATTGCACAGGAAACATTAATTCTGGCATTTCCTAACTTTTAAGTGCTTGATTTTGCAATTCTAATATTATTTGAACATAGCTTTTTGTGTGTAATTTCTTCATTTTTAAAAAGCAAACTTTAAAAAAAAACCCACTATTTGGAACCATATTAAGCCCACACGTGGTTTGTCAACAGGGTAGGAACCTTTAGATCTGCAGCCCAGACCTCTGCTATTTGAGGTAATGGGATAATTGGTACCAAGAATAGGCTCTTAACCTCTCTATAGGCCAGTCACTAAAGAGAGACACATTTTGCCAGTGAGTTTCAGACATTGGTTGATAGCAGAAGAATTTTGACTCAGGACTCTAGGCTTCAATTCCATGGTATAGAAAGGAATGTCCTCAAGTGATTTCAGACCCTTCTGCCTCTTGTCCCCTAGCATGTCACTGTGTCCTTGCTGCTTGTCATTCATCTGCATTCCAGTCAGGCTGATTCTTTCTTCTCCAATGTAGCCTGGGCACCACCAAGGGGGAGCATTGAAGGTATAGGAGAGACTGTCCCTGCCCTGTTCTAGTACCTAACACTAAAGCATCCCCAGCAACTGCTCCTCCTGGATGCTGTTTATCTTTTTCAGCCCCTTGAACATGAGCTGTGTGGGGATTGAGCATGCTCAGTGTGGTTGGCATGGAGCTATGTGGGAATTGAGCATT